CTCCAACATAAACAACACTACAAATCAAATTAACCTATCAGATATCTACAGGATATTCCACCCCTAAACAGCTGAACTTACCCTTGCAACTGTGCATGGAACTTTTTACAAAATAGAATATATTGTAGGCCACAAAGCAAATCTTAGCAAATATAACAACAATAAAACCCTGATATGAACCCATGTGTCCTATAATGGAATGAAGCTAGAAATCAACAGTAAAAATAATAGAAACCACATAAGCACATGAACAATACTTTCTTAAATGAAGAATGGATGAAAGAAGAAATGAGAATAGAAATAAAAAATTCTTAGAAACGAAAGGTGAGAAACGTATCAAAAATCTCTGGGACAGTATGAAAGCTATTCTAACAGTAAAACTTGTAGCACTGAGTGCCTAAAGTTAAAAAATCAGAGAGATCTCAAATAAGCTTATGCTCCATTTCAAGACCTTAGAAGAAGAATGAATAATCCCCAAACCAGTAGAAGACAGGAAATAATTAAGTTCAGAGCCAAAATCAATAAAGCTGAGAATAAGAAAACAATAGTCAGGAACAAGATAAATAAGATTGACACTTAGCCACACTAACCAAAAGAAAGAGTGGGAAGATGCAAATCAATAAGATCAGAGATGACAAAAGGAGATATGACCAGACCCCTCTGAAATCCAGAAGATTATCAGAAACTATTTAAAAAATTTTATATTCCAATAAACTGGAAAATCTGGAAGACACTGACAAATTTTAACACATATATGAGCTGCCCAAAAGGAATCAGGAAGATATAGAAAACCTAAACAGACCAATATCAAGTAATGAAATTGAAACATCAATTAAAAGCTTTCCAAAAAAGAAAAGCCAGGGATCTGATAAACTCTCAGCTGAGTTCTTCCAGACATTTATAGAAGAATGAACATCAGTTTTTCTCAAATTATTCCACAAAATTCAAAGCAAATGAACACTTTACGAAGCCAGTCAGTATAACCCTAATACAAAAATCAGACAAAGAAACATCAAGGAAAGAAAACTACAAACCAATAACCTAATGAATGCAGGTGCAAAAATCTTTAAGAAAATGTTAACAAACCCCATTCAGTACACATCAAAATGACCAAATGTGGGGCTGGGGCTGTAGCTCAGTGGTGAAGTGCTTGCCTCACATGTGTGAGGCACTGGTTTGATCCTCAGCACTACATAAAAATAAATAAAGATACTGTGTGTTCATCTACAACTAAATAAATATAAAAAAATGACCAAGTGTGTTTCATTCTAGAAATGCAAGGTTAGTTCAACATATACATCAATAAATGTAATTCATCAAATGTAATTCATAACTTAAGCAGAATTAAGGATAAAAATCACACATCATCTCAACAGATACAGAAATTGCCTCTGATAAAATCCAACACTTATTCATGTTAAAAATGCTGGAGAAGCTAGGGACTCAATGAACCTACCACCTTAACATTGTAAAGGCCATTTATGACAAAGCCAAAGCCAACATGATACTAAATGGAGAAGAACTAAAAGCATTTCCTTTAAATTCAGGAGCAAGACAAGGTGTCCCCTCTTATCACTCCTATTCAATATGGTCCTCAAAACACTGGCCAGAGTGAACAGGCAAAAAAAGGAAATCAAGGGGATACAAATAGGAAAAGAAGTCAAACTGTCTCTGTTTGCCAAAAACATGATCCTATATCTAGGTATTATGGTTTAGATGTAGTGTCTTTGGAAAGCTCACGTGAGACAATGTAAGAAGGTTTGGAGGAGAAATGATCGGGTTATAGCCTTATCCTAATCAGTGAGTTAATCCTGAATGGGATTAACTGAGGTGGTAGGGTGTGGCTGGAGGAGGTGGGAATTGGGATGTGGTTTTGGCGTATATATTTGTGATCTCTGCTTCGTGATCACTATGATGTGAGCTGCTTTATTCCACCACTCTCTCCTGCCATGATGTTCAGCCTCATATTGAGCCCCAAGGAATGAAGTCAGCTTTCTCTGAAGTAAGACCTCTGAAACCATGAGTCCTCAAATAAACTTTTCCTCCCCTACAGTTGTGTTGGTCAGATCCTTTAGTCACAGCAGTTAAAAAGCTGACTTAAATACAAGGAAACTTAAAAAACTCTGCCAGAAGACTTCAGAACTTATAAATGAGTTTATTAGCAAACAAGCAAGATACAAGATCAATAGCTTTCCAATAATTCAACAATGAATTAGCAGAGGAAGAAATCATTCGCAAAAACCTCTAAAAACTTTAAATACTTGGGAATTAATCTAACCAAGGAGGTAAAAGAGCTCTACAATGAAAACTATACAATGCTGAAGAAAGAAATTGAAAAGACCTTAGAAGATGGAAAGACATCCTATGTTCTTGGACAGGCAGAATTAATATTGTCAAAATGGGCATACTACCAAAAGCAATATACAAATTCAATGCAACCCCCATCAAAATACCAATGACATATTTTCATACAATTAGAAAAAACAATTCTCAAATTCATTTGGAAGAGATCAAGAATATCCAAAGCAATACTAAGCAAGAAAAGTGAAGTAGGAGGCATCACAATACTTGATTTGAAATTATACCACAGAGCTATAGGAACAAAAACAGCATGGTATTGGTATCAAAACAGACATGACACTGAATGGAATAGAAGACACACAGACAAATCCACATACCTATGGCTGTCTGATATTTGCAATGGTGTCAAAATATATCTTGGAGAAAAGACAGCATTTTTAACAAGTGGTGCTAGGAAAACGAATAGCTGTATGTAGAAAAATGAAATTAGACCCTTCTTACCCTGCGCAAAACTCACAAACTGAACTGGATCAAAGACATGGAAATTAGACCAGAAATTTTACAACTTTAGAAGAAAACATAGGGTCAGTACTCCAATATATAGAACCACAAAGTATAAGAAATAAAATCATGAATCAACAAATGGGATGCCAAACTGAAAAGCTTCTGCATAACAAAGGAAATAATTAAGAATGGGAAGAAAAAGCCTTCAGATCCGGAGAAAATCTTAGCCAGCTACTCCTCCAATAGGGGATTAATATCCAGAATATACAAAGAACTCAAAATACTTACCAACAACAACAACAACAACAACAACAACAAAACCAAATAACCCAATCAATACATGAGTCAAATAACTAAAAAGAACCTTCTCAAAAGAAACACAAATACATGGCCAATAAATATATGAGAAAATGCTCCACTTCTCCTGCAATCAAGGAAGTGCAAATCAAAACCACACTAAGATTTCGTTTCACTCCAGTTAGAATGGCAGTGAACAAAAATACAAACAGTAGAAAATGCTGATGAGATTGTGGGGAAAAAGGTACACTTGTACATACTGGTAGGACTATAGAYTAGTACAACCAATCTGAAAGTAGTATGGAGATTCCTCAAAAAACTAGGGATGGAACCACCATGTAACCCAGCTATCCCACTCCAGGGTATTTTCCCCAAAGATCTAAAATTGGTATACTACAGTGACACAGCTACAGCAATGTTTACAGCAGCACAGTTTGCAATAGCTAAATTATGGAATCAATCCAGTTGCCTGTCAATAAATGAATGGATTAAGAAATTGTGATACTCATACAAAATGGTGTTTTCTCAGCCATAAAAAAGAATGAAAATAGGGCATTTGCTGATAAATGGATGGAAATGGAGAATATCATGCTAAGTGAAATTAGCCAAACTCAGAAACTCAAAGGTCAAATGTTTTCCTCAGATACAGAAGCTTGAGTAAAATAAAGGAAAAGGGGAAGAAAGGTAACATAAAGAACCAATCAAGGGCTGGGGATGTGGCTCAAGCAGTAGTGTGCTCGCCTGGCATGTGTGCGGCCCAGGTTCGATCCTCAGCACCACATACCAACAAAGATGTTGTGTCCGCTAAATACTAAAAAATATTAAAATTCTCTCTCTCTCTCTCCCCCTCTCTCTTTAAAAAAAAGAAGAACCAATCAAATACAAATTAATTGATGAGCAAAAGGAAATCTATTAGAGAAGAGGGTGAGTGGGAGAGCGGGAAGGATAAGGGGGATCATGAACTGATACTGATTTCCATGCATGTATGAGATTGCAGGGGTTAACCCAACCATTGTGTTTAACTATAAAGCTCTTAAAAATAATAAAAGAAAACATTAACACCATATCTGAATCTTTGATGATCAAGGTCTTTGATGGATCATAATTAGTTCCTAAGCTGAATTAATTCTACTGACAATTATTTTTAAAGTTCAAGTCTTTTTTTCTTTCCATATTTTTAATTGGTGCATTGTAGTTGTGCATAACAGTGGGACGTGTTATATATTTGTGCATGCACACAATATAACAATAATTTGGCTAACATCACTCCCCAGTATTTGCTCTTTCCCTGCCCTCCTTCCTTCTCCTGGTCCCTTTCCTCTACTCTTCTGATCTCCCTTAGATTTTCATGAGATTTTATCTCCCCCAACCCTACTTTTCTCTTCCTTTTTCCTCTGTGGCTTCCACATATGAAAGAAAACTTCCACTTGTGGCATATTTCATTTAACATAATGTTAAAGAAATTTAACACAATGGTCTCAAGTTTCATCCATTTTCAAGCAAATGACATAATGTCATTCTTCTTTACAGCTGCATAAAACTTAATTGTGTATAAATACTACATTTTCTTTATCCATTCATCAACTGATGGACACCTACCTAGGTTGGTTCCATAGTTTGGCTACTGAGATCTTTCTTGAGAGAAAGGAAAGTCTATACTTTCTGCAATCCCTATAGTTTTTGCAACTTTATAGTGAGATAGTGTTGTAATTTATATATGAACATAGTATTTTTACCCATAATGGTCTATTTCTTGAGAACAGGGACTGAGATAATCATTTCTACACACTTTCAAAAGTAAATGCCGCATGAACAAGTGAAAAATAGTAAAAATAGTGTCGCATGAACAAGTGAAAAATACGTAAAAGATCTCAATGCTATAGGAATCATTTACTTACGTTCCACAAAGGAAGTAAACAGCATTCTAAATCTGCTAAGCCGACTACCTTCATCTGCCCACATTCTTATCACTCCAACTCCTGTTTTAAGCATTACATCATTGGCCACAGTGCTGCAAAACTTGGCCTTCAGATTTTCAATAGCACTGCTTCCATCGTACACTGCAACAAAGTTTCTCTTGCATTCATTTGAGTGCTCCATTTGATAATCTAGGAACCGCAAATAAATCTGTAACATTAAAACAAAGAAAAAAAAACTGCTTTAAAAATAGTATTTTTTTCTACTTCTTTTATCCACAGTCAACATGTTAGACTGAATTATGACAGTTGACAGAAAAATAGATATAAGGCTAATAGCTAATTGAAAACTCTAAGACCAATGGTCTGTTACTTTGGTTGTGTTAATAATAGAACCAAGCATTAAGGAAACTGAAGTTTGTTTTCTCTCTACAAAGTTTTGCAACAAGAGGCTTTAACTATGTTAGAGTTTCCTCATTATAAAACAATCTCATGGTACTGATAGGTAGAGGAAATAAATCACTCAAAAGTTATATTTTTCTAAAAATGTGATTAATATTTTTCTTCCGGTTTTCCTGTACATTTTAATACTTAAGTTTAATCACAGGAAATAGAAGATATATGTATCCTAGTTTGGTTATAACCCATCAGAATATCATCTACACTCTTGAAAACAATGCTCATTCCTACAATGTATTACCATTCACTTACCCACTACTCTACTGTTGCACACTTAATTGATGTTTTAACATTCCACCCCTTAAAACGCTCTATATTTTTTGGACTGGATGATATTAACTRTGTTTTCAAAGTAAACACCTTTAGCATCTTCTTTATTAAAATTTTACAGGGAGTTTGAAAACTGGCACCAAGTTTTCTTAAAATACACTTGGCTCATTCTTGTTTGAATATTTCTTTTACATCTTTATATATCTTTGGCTTAAAAAGGCAAAGCATTAATCTTTAGAAGAGGTTCATGAAGTAGGTATCATTATTTATGAAGAGACTCAGGAACTTGCCCAGGGTTATTCAGAGCAAGGATTTGAACCCAGGTTAGTCTAAGTCTAAAGTGTCTTCTTCTCACTTCACAGGTTGCTTCACACATGTGTATGTGCACACATGCACACACACATACCCGCACACACACACCCATACTCCTCTCACCCTCTTGACTGTAGATACTCATGTGTCACTCTAAAATTAAAATAAAAATTCAATGAGTGAAGAATAAAGATTTCCCCTAAATTTCCACTGAAGATACCTAATGAGTACACATTTTCTAGTTATTATTCCTGAGGTTGTGGTAAGTCACCCCTACCCTTTTATTTAAAGGGCTTAATAAAACAAAAAGTTTTGTCACATATTTTTTACCTTTTAAACTACTTTGAGGGCATGAAATTTAAAAGCAGAATTAAAATATAGCTCAAATTTTGACCAAGTTTGGTTTATTTGAAATGACCAGTTTGCCACTTCCATGAGAATGTCAGACATTTAGTTATGAAATAGGTTTTCCATTCTAAAACTTATTTTCATGCATGTATTTTAACATACAAATTGCATTTTCTTAAATGTTATCATTGGATCTTATAGATTTCACCATTATTTATATAACCAAATCACCCTGCTCATAGTTCCATGGTGGTGGGTATCCCTAATACTATAATTATCTCCTCCTTTAGATTTTAAGGTCTTCTGATCAGAGGACCATATGCTCAGTTATATTCAATATAACTCGCTCAGAGCAGGTAGTTAGTTAGCTTTGTGTAATTTTGAACTGTCAAAGCTAAATATCAGCTAAATTACCAAGATGTCTGAATTATTTACATTGTACTTTTAGTAAAATATAATCTTAAATGGCATATTTTTCTTAAATATCACTCATTAACTAGTTTATACTATTTCAAGTATTCAGTGGTTATGATGGCCTTTTTTCTTTAAATTTCTTAAATAAAACCAGGTGTTTGCTCATTGTGTTTAACATTGTTTTTTAATGTCTGATATAACATTTTATTTATTCTTATTATTTGTATTTGTAGATGGACAACATATTTATTTATTTCATGTGGTGCTAAGGATTGAACCCAGTGCCTCACATGTGTTAGCCAAGCGCTCTGCCATTGAGCTACAGCCCCAGCCCTGTGTTTAACAATTAAAAAAAWTTTTTTTTTTAAATTGTAGATGGACACAATACCTTTGCTTTTTTTATGTGGTACTGAGCATCGAAATAGTGCCTCACATGCAGTAGGCAAGTGCTCTACCACTGAGCCACAACTCCAGGCCCCCCACCCCCGCCATGTTTAACAATTTTTAAAAAAGGATTGAAGTCATTTTTTATAACTGTGTATAACGTTTTTACTTAAAAATTAATGAAAAGTAACACAAATCTCTACTAGTCAATAATCCAGATAACACTCCTAAAATATCTGTGAATGTGGAATTATTTTTCACAAAATGTTTCAATAAAGAGGAGTATGGAGTTCTAAAACATATCATTTAATTTCATGGAAATAAATATCTAAATATTAAATATTGTCAAATATAAAAAAGTATTGCTGACTCGATTAAAGCCTGTGTTCCCATTACCCTTCCTATGTATCTTTAGTTTGATTTGTAATTATATTTTAATGTTTATGAATCTAAAAAATATATAGTATTATTTTAAAACTTTATCACTTATAAACCACTTTCCATCTTTTTATGGGATTCTAGTTGCTTTCACTTTTAAAATTTATTAATACTGCTGAAAATATTCTTGTATTCTCATTACACATATAAATGATGATTTCATTTGGGTATCTATCCAGAATTGTACTTACTATGTTTTAACATCACCTTTCAGCTTTAACAGAGTATGCTGACAAATGACTATAGCAATTTATGCTCCTAAAGCAGATTAGGAGTTTCCATTACTCACTTCTTGCTAACATCTCAAGAAATGTTCCCTGAACCACCCCTGCCTCCAGGGAAAATCTGTCAAGTTGCTTGCTACTTTGCAGGTGTCTGTCCTATAGTGTGACTTTTCCCAGAACTTTATATAAAGTCATATAGTACATAGCTTTTTTAGCATGATTTGTTTGAGAGTATTGCATTTGTCAATAGAATGTCCCTTTTTAATGCTGAAAAGATTATACTGTCTGGATATGCCTGAGTCTATTCTTTTAACAGTGGAAGAAACCTGAACCTTTCTTTGCTTTTGATTATTATGGACAAAACTGCTATAAATATTTGCATGTTTATCATATGAACCACTTTCATTTCTCCTGGGTACACATTCAGAAAAAACCAGAGTCACATGGCAATTTTATAGGAAATTACCATGATGTTTTCCAGAGTGGTATATCATTTTGCATTCCCAAGAGGAATGTATCAGAGTTTCAGTTACTCTTTAGGTTTCCAGGATTCAGCATGTTTTCTTTCTTTTATTTTTTTTTTTGGTGGAAGGTGGTGTCACTGTTTCCAAGATTAGTCTTAGTAAGCAAGCCTCCTGCCTCAACCTCCGGAGCCACCAAGTCTAGTCTGGTATTATTTTTTTTAAATAATCAGTTTTAATGGCGGTATATCATTGTGATATACTACTATCTCACTGTGGTCTTAATTTGCATTTTTGTAATGACTAAATGTTATTTGAATTGTCTGATAAAATTTTCCCACTTAAAAATTGCTGACCAGAAATATGGAAAAAATGTGCTCTATATGTGGAATATGAATTGTAATGCATTCTGCTGTCATGTATAACAAATTAGAATAAAAAAATTTTTAAATTAGGTTGTTGGGGCTAGGGCTGTGGCTCAGTGGTTGAGCGCTTGCCTCGCATGTGTGAAGCATTGGGTTCAATCCTCAGCACCACATAAAAATAAATAAAGGTGTTGTGTTCATCTACAACTAAAAAATATTTTAAAAGAATTGGATTGTGTGCATACTATTGAGTTTCAGTTCTGGAAAAAAGAAGTCTTCCAGAAAAAACGGTGATTTGCAAAAGCCTTTTCCCACCCAGTGGCTTTTCACTCAATAACATCCTTCACAGGGAAAAGCTTTTTATTTTGATGAGTCCAATTTATGCGTGCACGCACATACACACATTTTTCACTTATGGATAGTTCTTTGGTGTCCTATCTAAGAACTATCTAACCCAAAGTCATTTTTTTCTGGAGCTTGGGGTAAAGCTCAGTGGTAGATACCTAGCTAGCACAGAGGAGTTCAAGTTAGATCCCCAGCATTGGGGGAAAAGGAAGAAAAGATTTTTTCCTAGATACTTACAATTTAACGTTTATGGTTATAATATATATTTAGGTTTTGTGTGAGGTACTTTATAAATGTCAAAGTGCATTTTTTAAAACTGCAGACTTATATTGTTCCATCCCCATCTGCTGAAGACTACCCTAACTCCACTAACTGGTGTGTATATGTCAGAGAGCAATTAACCATGTTTACACAAATCTAATCTCTTGGGTTATTTATTTTGTTCCATTGACCTGTACCAATTTGTCAATATCACATTATCTTGATTACTGAAGTTTTACAGTAAGTCTCCATCTTCCATCTTCATTCTTTAACAGTATTATTTACTTACCATTAAGTTCTAGAATTAGTTTCTTAATATTTACAAAAGTATGACTGGGATTTTGATGGGAATTGTGTTCAGCTATACAAATCAATTCTGAAGAACTGATATTTTAGTGTTACAGAGTCTATTAATACATATACACAGTGCATCTCTTCATTTAGGTCTCTAAATCTTTTAATCAGTGTTCTACACATTTTCAGTTTATGGATGGTGCATATACTTGTAAGAAGCTTTTTAGAAACGGTACTGTTTTCTTAATTTTCAACTGACTGGTATCAATAGTAAATAATAAGACAGACTTAGTATATTTTGTATATTGGTTTTATATCCTGYAAACTTGCTAAACTCATTTTTGTTTCAGGAATTTAAAATTTTTTTTGGTAGAGTTAATGGAATTTTTTATACAGATAATCAATCACGTTAATCTACAAAGACAGTATATTTTTCCTTTTTGCACTGGCTACAATTTCTAGTACGGTGTTGAATAGGAGTTAGTTACAAATTCCAAAGGGACAAGTATTCAAGTTTTCACCATTAAATGTGATATTAGCAGGAGGCTTTTGTAGATATCCTTAATCAGGTTATGCAAACTTTTTTGAGATTTATTTTTATTGCGAATGAAATAAAAAATACTGAATTCTAACAAA